ATATATATATATATATATATAAAATATTAACTATATGTTTTATTTTTTTAGGTATTATTTTTATATATAAATACTTGATTCTTCTCATACTTGAGGCACTTCATCAATTTTTGCATATACCTTTATATATTTCTTTAAAGCACTTCTCCTTCCCCTTTACCTATTATGTCTCTTTAAGAGGGATTGATATGTTCAGATTTGGTTCACAACTGCGTTTCCTTTTCTTCTCCTAAGGGGAAAGCCTTTTCTTTCATTAGCTGGAATTGAAAAGGATGCGTTTCAATCCGTACGTTTGTTTCAGCTGTTTTCTTCGATCTAGAGTTTCTTAAAGCATGGTTTTTCTTGTTCTTTTTGGACAATTTTTTTAATTTAGTTTTTTGGTTCTCGAGGAATGAGTTCATCTGGGTAGATTCCTTCACCAAAGGGGCCTCCTAGTCGCTCTCCTTCACACAAAATCTCTTTTTTTCTTCCATCTCCTCTCCTTCATTTTTTTTATATTATTTTTTACTTTTCCGTATTTAGTATTTCATATTATTATTCCCTCTTTCCAGTTTCTCTTTGGACAATTTTCCGTTAGATTTGCCTTTTCCCTTTGTAACTTGTGGCTTTATTGAGCTATAATATGTACTTTTGGATGAGAGAATCAATATACCTATATACATAGGTTCTATATGTACATATTATAAAGATTGTTATCAGAAGTAGTTCAGTTTCGACATAAAATTTTAACCCAAATATCATTTTATTCTTATATTCATAGATTGCACTAGCATATATTCATAGATTTAGGTGTTATTATAAGTTTAGTTGCATGGAGAGATTGAGATATACAGTCGTTTTTTGCGGATGTAGCATCATCAAGATTCACATGCAAACGCAGGTGGGTGGGACTGTGATGCAATCTAAGGGATGTGCCAACCGAGCCATAGGTCTTTTGAAGTGAGAATCTTGATGATGCTGCATCAGCCATAAACGACTTGCTACTTTGAAAAGTTGGATAAGGACTATTCTAACATCAACAAGTGGCCCAAAATATATAAAAATCAAAAACTCTAGTTACATACATAGATACAACACAGACATCCTCTGATCTGCGCATTTAAACCAAGAGGCGACCTTTCCCAGTATGCTTTTTGTTGCTGTCAGGTGGGTTTTCGATTTATGGTTTTGTTTACCCTTTTGTTTTCAATTTATGGTACTAATTAATTTTTTATTGTCCAAAGGTATGGCATGGCCTTGCTTTGCAGTGCTTTTGTTCTGTCTTTTATTATTATTATTATTATTATATATCACTGTTGGTATTATTATTACGATATTACTAGCTATCGATACATTAATTAGCTCTTCTGTGTGTTTGCAGACAATACTAGGTTTTCAAATATAGGCTATTTGGAGGCCGAGTGGAGGTCGTTCATGTGCTGACTTCACAGATCTATGAATATTCCTTTTCAACAGAAATGCTGGGATCTAAATGGTGTCTTTTCAGTTTCTAAATATAGATGGAGATATCACTTTATCCAAATCTGGATACAATGTTAGAGAGAGAAAATTCAAATTATACACTAGTATTTGTGGAATTTATGGTACTCAGTAGCTAGTGTTGATGCTGATATTGTGACGGTTTTAACTATTTTTTTGTGAGTATTTGGCATTCATTAGATCTATTTCATACCTAGCTAGAATGCTATGTAGAAACTTTTTTTAAAAAAATTATGTGTTGATCTGTAACGAACTTCGCCAAAGCATGCAGTTCCTATAGTGTGAGTGTTTAAACGTGATAGGAAAAGGATTTGTTGATTGTCACTGATCTTGTGATTTTGATATTACTAGTCAAGTAGTGTTCTTTTGGGGTCCCATTCCCACATGCTTTGGCCTCGTTGGTCACTAAATATTAGAAATACACAAGAATTAAATTAATGTATATGTATATTTGTAGTAGTGGATATTGTTCCTAGTTGGTTTGCATCTCAGAAATTTCGCAGATTATTGAGAATGGATTGGATTTGGGAACATGGATATACAAGAACACGGACATAGGTCATGTCTTAGTTTCATGGTCAAGGTTTTGGCTTTAGCTGGTTGGTGGACCAAGGACCTCTTACAAGATGGACCCTCCAATAAGGTACTCTATCCCTGTGGGAGAGATATTTCAGTCCATCTATTACTTCCCGCCCTTGTAATAATGCTCGAAGTTAAATAGTAGAATTTTTAGAAGAAAATAAAGCAAATATATTCTTATATATCTCCATTATTCATGAAAGTGATCATTCAGTATATTCAAGATCTTATCACACATGGAAATCTGTGTGCCCCCGTCACTGTCCTACTCTTGGTTTCACATATTCTCGCTGCTCCATCATTATGAATCTTGGGTACCCGAAATTAACCAAAGAAAAAGGAAACAGCTTGCCCTATTTTCTTTGTAGAGAAGACTTTGGACCATATATGCATTTGGATATTATAACATTGTCCAGCTACCATGTATGATTCTGACATATCTTCATTTGTAACTAAGTTTTATTATTTATTATTTTTTCTTTTTTGTAAATTGAAACTATTGATTATATATATATTGGTTGAAATCATATACATGTAGTAATCTTGGACCATATAATAATTTCTCGTGTATTAGTTAGGCCCATTGATCTTCTTGTTTTAACTCTTCAATGGTAAAGCCACATAGTTTTTGTGGGCTCTCTACATTGGCTGTTGATAAGGGTAGTAACCAACAGAATCTTTGTTTGCAGGTGATCATTTAAATTAAAAGAATATTATCTTCTAATTTAGGGAGAGATGTTCTCCCACTCTAGCTTCTGGATCACGTATATTTGGATCTACTGTAAGTACCTAGCTATTACATATTATTCTGGAGTAACTTGTTCCTTACTTGTACAATTATTCATCAATCATTTCATTGCATCCCTATAAACTGAATTAAGTTATGTAGTTTATGGTTTAATTTTCATTGGATAATTTGTGGCTATCTATTTAGTTTGCTAAACTTGATAATTGATTGAGACTGTTGTTGTGTGAAAGAACAATTAATGATAATAATGGAAAAGAATAAATTCAAGAAATAGCTACCAAAAAAGAAGTCTTACTTGCATATAGGCATGATGCATCCATTTTAATTTGTTCTGGCCAATATATAGATAGCTATATTTTAAAGAATTTGTCTTTCTTTTCTTCCTTTTTATTCGTCTGAGCTGTTATTTCTGTCAATAAAAGTGTTCATATATAAGATTCATTTTCGTTAATTAAGGAAACCAAAATAAAGTTTTTATTAAAGAGAAAATTATTTATTATTTATTATATTAAAGATACAAATGCCATGATACTATTTCTTAACCTATGTATATGGACAAAAGAAATTCATATATATTATTGTCTTATGTACTGGTACTACATATGTGCATCTGTAATTGTCTGGTCTTGTTTTGATTAGTAGTATTAATAGTTTAACCTTCCACAATGTATTTTGTTGATCATTTGCTTTTTCTTATTTCTACTGGGATGTATACATTCCATGAAATTTCGTGGTCCCTGCCTGCTATTTATTATTATTTTTTTGATACATGTCCCTGCCTATTTATTCATATAATATATAATATATAATCACAAAGATCAAATAAATTGTAAGCAAGCATAAAGTCATATTGTAAATAATTTTTTGCCATATTGTGATGTTTACTTTTTAGGCAAACGTAAATTTTTCCGTCAATTCTAAACTTTTGTGAACTGTACGAACTCATGTGCTCAGCCTTACAGAAATTATTGTGAACTTGTGATGCTAATTAATGTTGTGTTGAACATCATATATGATGCTACAACATAATACTATATTAATTATATATATGTTTTTGCCTTTTAAACTTCATACCAAAGCTGAAGTCTAAGACCATATTTGCTCATTGGAAACCCTAAGTATAAGGAAAAACTTTCTACCTTTTCTACACAGAAGGATAGTTATCATATATTTGGCTCATAGTATTATTACATACTAATTTTGTAAAATACATGTATATTAATTAAAGGAATGGTTGAAAGTACAATCAAAGTTTCACATTATTTAAAAATAAAGAGAATCATAAGTTTATAAAATACACATATGTTATATTTATATGAGATGATTTAGAAAATTACTAAAAGTAAAATTTGAACAATGGCATATACTAGTGTGAATGTGTGAGATCTCCTTGGTGCGTCCTAACAAGAGTAATAATAAGGAAACTTTCTCTACTTGTGCCAACACTTTTTACTTAGGTTAAATTTATTAAAAATCACAAATTTTGTAGATGTACATTTCATTTAATGGTTATCCCTCTTAATTAAGTGGTAGAAAATTCTACTAAATTTTGTAATTTTCAACTAATAATAAAAAGAATATTAAAAGAGTATTATAATGAGTGTCACTAACATTTTTCTATTCATCGTTTCTCTACTTGGGCTTCCTTTTTATTCTTTTGGCTGAAAAGGGCTAGCATCCTAAACAACATGATTGAGTAAAGAAATTCTTTACGAATTAGTTGACTTTTTAATTAATTATTTGGTGCAATTTCCTTATGTTAAATTCCTTGCACACATAATATGTTAACTTAATTTTACATCTAATAGTTTATGTGCTTATTAATTTCTTTATTCATATCCCGTAACTGTGAAATATTATTTTTTTGTTCGATTTCTATTAAATGTGGAAATTCATGAAAGCAATGTTAGTCACAGTACTGTAAGTGAAATTAATCTAACTCAGTAAACTAGGCGATATCCGTGATGGGACCAAAAATCTATCTCCATTTATGAATGTGGCAATTTCCATATTTTCAGCCAAAAGTAGCACATGTAGATAACTTGTGCGTCAAAATGGACATAATCACATGCCTCTGCGTAGTACTGCAATGGCACCATCATTCAGTGTCTGGTTATATCTCCTTTGGCAAAGGAAGAACGCATGCAAATACAAATGGAATCCATTCAGTCTAAACTATTATAAAGGGATTCATTCGTTTTTAAGTTGCTCACTACTGTTTTGTTTGACTCTATGTTCTATACTTTGATGTTTGGTACAAAATGTTCTGAAGAGATTCCCGCATCACGTCATGTTGGGATGTTGAGGTATACATTGATTTCCATGCAAACACATCTGGAAGGGAAGAACTGATATACGGTTCTAGCTTTTACTATTTTCCGCCTTCAATGATTTGCTGTACACATATATTTGCCCACATTTTTCTATATTCTTTTTCATACTTCTTGGTTGGTGAAGTGAATCTTCTTTTTGAATTTGGCATCACCAATATTGGGAAGCTTTCACTGAAACTGTGACTGGTGACTCGATTTAGATGGTCACATTTTGTATATACTAATTTTATAGCTCGAGTTAAACTCTAACTCATTTTATTTTGTCCAAATAGACGTATGATGAGAGATTCTTAGTAACTCAGTTCATTCCATTATTATTATTCTCTGTCCTTCATAAGTTCATAGTATGTAAATCGAGCATGGTTCGTATTAATATAGTTCTGTTTTGATGAAATTTACTATAAATATTTGTAGGTGAAGAACCTATAATGAATTAAACTTATCTTGTGAGTTTAAATTAACTTGTATATTTTTGTTTTTTTAAGAGTTAATTTTACATTATGAAAAAGCTGCATCTTAATGAATAAATATATATATATATATATATATAAATAGATTTTAGTTATTTTGAGGATTAATATCTTTAGCTAATACTTAGACAATATAGATCTAATTCCTACTTTATAGGACATACTTATTAATCAAGAATAAATAAATGAATAAATATATATATATATATATATATAAATAGATTTTAGTTATTTTGAGGATTAATATCTTTAGCTAATACTTAGACAATATAGATCTAATTCCTACTTTATAGGACATACTTATTAATCAAGAAGGTCTTTTGATATTATAATTAAAAAAAAAATTGGTGGAATTTAACTAATTTTTAGTTAGACAAGTAAAGTTTTTGGTTAAATTGAATATTGTTGAGTTTCAATTAATCATTAAGTGAATAATGGTGTTTAATCTAAAGATTTTTAACATATAATTGACTTCTTGTCTATTAATTTTAAGAATGTTATCTTTTATCTATCATTTTAATAAATAAAAAAGAAAGAAAGATAATATTAATCTATTTTAAATTTTAATATCTTCCGTTATTATTGGCATCTATAGAGAAAATTAAACACAATGTTGATGAAGTTATGTCTTCAGATCAAGTTGCCTTTTCTAGACACGATTTTTTTTCTCTTTCTCTTTTTTTTTTTTAAACTACAGCATTCACCAGTAAAGATATATTAAAAAAGTTGATTTTATTTAATAAATATTTTTCTATACACATAAGCTAAAAAGGGAATTCTCAATGTATATTTAAGATAAAGTTATTTACCTTCATCATATTTATATTTTTTCTCACAAAATAATCAACTTAAATATATGAATTTTAGATAGAGATATATTTAAACATATGATATCATTTGTGAGAAAATGTGAATTTGATAGTCACTATAATTCCAGATATAGATATTCGAACGAAGTACATTAGATAACATGCGCGGTAACAAATATAGTAAGAATTGGAAGAAAAAAATCCATGTTTTATTTTTTGAAAAATCTTTTTAATATAAATTTATCTTGAAAATGAACAACTAAACGTGTATTGACTTTTATATTAAAGAAATCTGTTTTTTTTTAAGTATATGAAATTTAAGTATGTGTTTTGAAGTGGTGTTATTTATTTAGATTATAATTTATTTTCATAAAATTATTTCTTTATGTTTTATTCTTTTATTGGTAATATTGTGTATCATACAAAAAATTGTAAAAATATTTTCTGTCTCTATTTCTCTCTATTAATAACTTATTATATTTTATACTTTCTTATTTTTAGTTATAAAACTTGCATAATTTATTATATAAATAACATTTCTTTTATTTAAATACAAAATAAAATAATGTAACTTGTGTAGTCACTAGTCAGACCACAATTTTTGTCACAGAAAAATAAACAAACAAAGGTATTTTCATTTTACATTTTCCGATCTGAAAGTTAGAAACCAAACCATATTTTAATCAAAATGAAAGGGAAAAAAAAAGTTAGAGTTGTAAGAGTAATGCTGAGTTCACAACAATTAGAGACTGACAAAAACTACATCAGCCTCGGAGTTGTCGCTTACAGGACAGTGGTGCAATGGAAAGCTTTTGTACGACTCACCAACACATTAATTTTTTTTTTTAATCATCAATTAAATTTTATTTAGTTTAGGAGAATGCAAAATAAATCTAAGCTTTAAGTTCAGCGGCGAGATTGATCCACGCTTAAATAAGGTAAGAGGTTCAAATTTTGTCTTGCATATATAGTTGCGTTAAATCTTGGAACCTGCTATCTCGAGTGAAAAAAAAAAGGAGAATGTAAAATAAGCAAAGATGATTTAATATAATGAATTTGCATAACAGCATCAATGTTCGTGTTCACATCATGTACGCTTTTTTTTTTTTTACGAGCAAAATAGGGAAGAAATGGAGTTGAGAGAAGCAAGATAGTAAAAGAAATTTATAATCATTTAATGAAATTTATCAATGAAGAAATAGAATACTTTTTTAAAAAAATTAACACATAAATGAATAGTATATGTTTAGAATTCACTTATATTCAAATAAAATATAATCACATTAATTCAAATAAAAATCGTTATTCATGCAAAAAAAATATTTGTTTAAATAAATAAAACTTTTATTTAAATATATTTTCTTTTGAATATATAAAAGTAAAATTTAATTCGAATAAAATTATGTTGAAGGAAGGTTGAGAATTTTATTTATTTATTTAAAATGTTTATTTTATTTATTTATTTTAAGTTTATTATTTTAATTAAATTTTAATGTAAAAATATTATTTTAAAATTCTTTACTTACTTTTAATTAGTTATTTATTTTATTTCAAAATATTATTTATTTAGTTATATAATTTTTTATTTAAATAATTAAAATAAAAAAATAATTTTAAAAATATTTGTGTTCTATTATTTATTTATTTATTCTTCTCTTCTTTTTAATATATTTTATTTTTTATATCTTTCTTTCTGTCTTACTAAACATACATAATATTATTTTTTATCTATTTTTTTAATTAAATAGTCAAATTTTTACTTTATTTCTTACATATTTTTACTCATATGTTTCTTTCTTACTTACTTTTCTATTTTCTTCCATTTTATTTCTCATTTATTTCTTTTCTCTTTTCCAAATACTCTAATAAAAATATTCATTTAATATAAAATTTTATTTCCATCTTCTGTTATGTGTAAAATCTGTTTAGATATGCAACAATCGACAGTTCCATGAATGATAGATAAAAAAGTAGAGGATTATTTTGAAATTGAACAAAAATAATTTTAATTAAGTTAAATTTAATTGAAATATATATTTAAATTGAATTTATTTATCATTGTGAAAAGTAACTTTTAATAATAATAATAAATAAATAAATAAATATTTTCTGTAGTACTATCGTGAGGCCTATCTTACTCTGCTTGCAACAGACCAATCAGTAACCAAATTTTGGAAGCAAAGTGTTTCTTTGTGAGCAGATTTGGCACTATCATGCTCAGAATTTCTACTTGTCAATAATGCAAGCTCAGAGATGTTGGAAGATACTTTTACTTTTTTTCTTTTTCTGCTGACACACAAATATTTAACTATAGGGAGATTATTCAAGAACTTCTTTCAAAATTTTATTACCTAGTGTTTTTAGAATTAATTAAATTAAATTCGAAAACTTGTGCTGGGGAATAGTTTCTTCCTTTTGGGGTTGATTAGCTTTGGAGTTAAGTTAAGCTTAGTTGCTGCTCAATTAAAATATGAATAACCTTGGTGGTAGGTCATTTATAACGCATCATAGGAGAGAAAAGAAAATATGAAAATGAAGAGAAGAGAAAAAAGAGTATGGTAGAATGATACGACGTGTTCTTAAAATTGAGGGCGAAAAAAAATTATATTTTCAAATGATTTTATTTTATCATCCAAATAAAGTTATGTTTTCTCATTTGATTTTTAAAACACCATTATTAAATACAAATTATTTTTCTCTAATACTTAAAAGTTAATCATTTCAAAAAAAAAAAAAAAAACTTCTTCAAATCATAATAATCGAGGTTTTATATCATTTTTAAAGACTCTAAAGAATTTAAAAATTACAAAAAGTTAAAATCAAACATAGGAGTTTTGAAGTCAAAACTGATTGTTAATTTTATAATTTATTTTTAAGTTTAATTTTTCACATTTGAATAATATATTCTTTAATATTGAAATTTAAAATATATAAGAAATAGGAAATTTAAAAATTAAAAATATAATGACCCGTCATGCCCATTACACTTATGAATCACAACTACTAGCGGTAGAACTATCTCATACCAAAAAGGTTTATATTCAAAATAATTGGATATGCACCCTATAACATGTATATAAATATAAATAACTAAAATAATTTTATAATTATATATAATATATATGGTTATCCAATATAAAGATAATATAAAAAATTTTAAGTATCGATCAAGCACAGTTATATATCCCCATCACATGAGGGTACTCCAAAATATCCAAAAGTATTGTCATCCATCTAATGGCCTCCACTACTCACCTCTGTCAACATATCCTTGTTATGTTTTCATATAAAATATGATCATCGTAGTTCATTCACATGAAAAACTAGGAATAAAACATTTATACTCAACACCATCATGCTAACCAAGCAAATACACCACAGGATTCGCATCCCACAATAATCCCCATGTTTGAAAGCTAAAGCAGTCAAAAATCAAACATTCCCTATAATCATATAGCACAATAATATATTCATCCAATGCATATGAACAACAATAACAACTCACACCTCATCATATGCATACTCAACAACTAATGCATCATCACATATTCACCTACGGAGATCTCTTAATACACTTGAGCAGTTTAAGTGGCTTGACCCTACAAAATCAAACTTGATAACTTTCACACCATACGTGCTTACTGAATCCATAACTAAAATGGCATATTAATCCCTACTTTTAATTTTTTTAGTGTCCCCACTTACACTAAGAAAGTATAGTTTCACAGTTAGGACTAGTATTACCAAGTCACTTATGAAATTAGCCCACTAGCTATACTCAAGGAACCATGCAACTTTTTTGATAACCAATTAAGAGTGGTAGTCCTCAACTTCACACATACTCCAGAATGACTAAGAACCTAAAGGAAACTTAAAATCCACTCCAAAAATTCCACACATGTTCAACAATTCTTCTAAGATTTAGCATACCAATGCTTATTAAATACCTCAACCATGCAATTTATGGTACATCAATTATATATAACATATCAATGCTTATCACCATTTTCATTACATAAGTATAACATGTCAATGGTTATTATCATCATCCTAAATACAACATGCAATAGATTAAATAATATTATTCATGCTTACCATTCAACTCACCGAACAATAATTAATCATCAATATACATTATCCTAGATTAATGTATAAAGAACAAATAACATATGAATTACCTTCATCATACATCATGTAAGCAACCAACTTAAACAAGAAAGAAGATATTTGGTTAAGTTTTCACGTCCAGCGTCACACTCCTAAAGAGTCATAAAAACAAATGCAAGTTTTCACATTGAGTGTGAAAACTTGCACTAAGTGCCAAACTCCCAAAGAGTCAAAAGCAAATATAAGTTCTTACGTTGAACATGGAAACTCACACTGAGCGTCAGCATTCTAAAGGCATCCTCCACTCTCGACATTAAGCGTGAGCCTTACACTTAGCATTACAAACCCAAAAGGTTTTGCATATGTAAAGAACAAATCCAACAACTATAAACATCATCAATCTCCAAATTCCTCTCATCCAACCAATAGTTCATGCATGCAGTTCAATATTTATCACTTATTAGCAATATATAACTCAAATTTTGAAGAAAATAACAAATGTAACAACAACACACCAATTAAATTGCCAAATCTTTCCTTTTTCACCAAGAACATCAAAAACACCAAATTCTTCAAAATCCAACACCTACTCCAAATTAAGCAAATTGGCTGGCAATCAACCAAAATAAAGATACATGTCACACCAAATTCTACTAAAAATCAAGTTATAACTATCTTTATCTCGACTTTGAACTAATCTAATGAGGAGAAAAGGAAGAGAAAAAAAGAAGTAACTCCAAATTATTCACATCATCATGCTTTGATTTTATGCCTCAAATACTCAAAAATCCTCGCAACGGAAATGTTACTCTAAAATTCTTAATTAGGAGCCTAAGAGAAGAAGAAGAAGATTTATTAAATAAAAGTATCTCCTACTATCAACATGTATAACATTAAAAAAAAAACCTTAAAATAATTCAAAAGTTATTTTTTTTTTTTGAGTTTTTTAAACTATTTTAAAAAAAATACTTGTATTCTTAAAAGTTAGTTAATGGATCTAACTTTTTTTTTTAAGAAAAGACATCTTAATAAATTGAGTCTGACAATTATTAAATTTACATAGAATACTTTTTACAAAAAAATGTACCCATTTTTTTTATTATTTTTGTTGAATATTTGTTTCTCTGACTAACTGCAAAAAAATTCCAATGCAAATGCCAAGTGCCATCTCATGGGGCATATCGGTTGGTGTGTGTTCGCTGACTAATGTAATGATTATGATTACATGTAGGGTCTGTGGGCCCCATTAATCGTACATTGTGACCCACTCTATGCCCTTCCACTTTCTGCCAGACATGCAACTCCAGGACCCATCAATTAGATCTCTTTGTACCTCAATATCTATCTTTTCTTTTTTCACTTTAAATTTGTAATAATTATTTATTATATTTCATTTCATTACTTTTTAATCGAAACAACATAAATTATTATATTAGTTAATTTTATTAAATTAATATTGTAATATTAAGAATTCCAAATCTTTTCGCTCCCAAATACATTGTAAACGGAAAATACATAAAAATGTGTATTTATACAATTATATAAAAGTAAATTACGAGTCGCAGAATTATTTCCAGTTTTTTTTTTCACTTGTTTATGATACACTTATGTAAAAAAAAAAAAAAAAAAA